TGTGTTTTCACCTTCATGAGTCCAAGGTGCGCAATGTATGTGCAGAATATCTCAGGTACAACAACCTGCCAGCTATTCATCAATGTCACCTCACATACATACATGAGGGTAAAGTGCAGACTCAGCGACTCTGAAAAGAAGCAATGAAACGTGCCGAGAGCAAAGAATTACAAGATAAGAATCTGCACATATTCTGACAGCACCGGCGCTGATAAAGCCAGGACCACACTTGTACTGTGGACGGCGAAGGAGGTTTTCCGGGGATCTAGAGGGAGGAGTGTGACTGCTCTACCAGGATGACTTTGCACCATACACTCCCATAAATCCTCCCTTCAGCCTCCACCTCGTGTGGTAGGGACTACGGGATATCCCGAGGAGGACTGCTGTGTCTACAAGACGTAGAGCTCCACCATCATGGCAGCCGCAGCATCCGGCGTTTGCATCTTGTCCTGTGCTCTGCTCTTCTCCGCTGCACAGGCCGGGAAGATTCTGGTTATACCCGTTGAAGGAAGTCATTGGATCAATATCAAGGTCCTTGTCATGGAGCTGGCCCAGAGAGGACATGAGCTGACGGTCACCCGACCCGCCAACAGCCTGTACATTGAAGAGACGTCAGAATACTTCAAGGTGGAGAACATTCCCGTCTCCGAGGCGCAGAAGATGAGCCGGAAGGCATTTGAGGAGTACGCCTTGAACTGGATCTTCCAACAAGCTTTCACCAGGCATTCCTCCTCGTTCACCGTGGCCTGGGACTTCATTGGAGCCCTTCGGGCTGGGACTCAGACGGGCTCGGTTGCCCTTGGGGCAATATTTGAGAACGAAGAGGTCATGGAGCGGTTGGCCAACGCCGGCTTTGAGCTGATTCTGGCCGATCCGTTTAATGTGGCTGGAGTCATGTTGGCTCACTACTTGAAGCTTCCCATCGTGTTCTTCGGGAGGTGGAGCCCCACTGAAGACATTCACTTTGCTGTCGCCCCGTCTCCACTTTCCTACGTGCCGGTGATACACTCCCGAGTCGCAGACGGAATGGCCTTCCATGACAGGGTTAAAAATGTGCTGCTGTATTACCTGTACCTGGCTGCCAGCCACCTCCTCATATACCCAACGTATGACAGGTTGGCTCAGCGGTATCTCAACGCCGACATTGGAGTCTTTGAGATGTACAAGAGGGCCGATATCTACTTGATGAAAGTGGACTTTGTGTTCGAGTTCCCGAGGCCAACCATGCCCAACGCCGTGTATATTGGAGGCTTCCAGTGCCGACCTCCTAAACCCCTCCCTGAGGATATTCAGCAATTCATGGACGGGTCAAAGCAAGGAGTGGTGGTCTTCTCCTTGGGGACCATTGTTAACAAGCTTCCTCTTCACATCGCCCGAGAGTTTGCCGCAGGCCTGGCCCAACTCAAGGAAAGCGTCATTTGGCGTTACTCCGGAGAACCTCTAGACACCTTAGGAAATAACACCATGACTGTGGACTGGCTTCCACAGAACGACCTCCTCAGTCACCCCAACACTAAGGTGTTCCTGGCGCATGGAGGGGAGAATGGCGTCTATGAGGCCCTGTACCACGGCGTCCCCATAGTCGGATTCCCGCTGTTCGGTGACCAGTATGAAAATCTGCTCCGTCTGAAGATGAGAGGAGCCGCCATCCTTCTGGAGAACGCGGGAGATATAACCGCCGAGGACGTATTCCATGCCGTGCGCACAGTTATTGATGAGCCGTCCTACAGCCGGGCCATGAAGCACCTTTCCCAATTACACCGAGACACCCCTGTGCCCCCCCGAGACCTGGCCGTGTTCTGGACAGAGTTTGTCATGCGCCATAAAGGAGCGCGTCACCTGCAACCTGCCGCCAATGACCTGACCTGGTACCAGTACTACCTGCTGGACGTCATTGGCTCTCTCCTTCTCATAGTTTACGTTTCCTCTTATGTAACGTTCAGAATCCTCCGCGGGGCGATGAGGACCTTCCGCTGCCGGAAGCAGAAGAAGTCGTAACATGATCTTCACCTGGAAGTGACCACTGGTGGGAGCGCCGCCTCTGAAACCTTCCCACCAGTGTCATTGGCTCAGGTGAAAGTATCGGCAAGTACGAGTCCGGAACCGACACAAATTGTATGTGAACCCCAATAATCATCTTCTCGTATTTGCTACATTGTGATCTGATAAAGACAACAATAGAAGCGATTTGTTTTATCTGTTTAATATGTGAAAAGAATATCTGATGATCATTGAAGAAGTCTTGTGAGCTCATAACTCTGTGGCTCT